CCTTCTCTTTCTGCAACCTTAAATTCCTCAATTTGAGTCATATAAAGATCCAAATTTGCACCTTCCAAAATAGTCTCATTGCTTCTAAATGGCCTCTGTCTTACACAATTCCCACCTTGGTTCCACAACCCATTCTCAAAGTGGGATGGTGTATAAGTCCTTAAAAATACTACCCCTTCGAAGTTTTCTAAACTATTTATAGCTTTAAAAGCTGTTTTAAATGCCTTCCGGGAACCATAAGTCATAGGAAAGTCGGTGATATTTGGAAATTGGCAGAAGCGACAGCCCACGAGGCGCCTTTTTTCATAATACATGGATGGCCGGTAAAACCAGGTACCCGCATTGAGGACAATATAGTCGAGTTCATCTATATGGTTAGTCCAGGACTCGTCAACCTCGTCAAGGTAGAGATTGAATAGGCCCGTATGAGTGGGACCATCAGGGTCTGCCTCTTTGGATTTCACCAAAAAGGGTGTCCAATAGCTGGCGAGGGTGAAGTTGTAACTCACGTAGTTCCAACTTCTGAAATGTTCGTCCTGAGTATGTGAAACGTTGATTGGATTTTCAACCTGAAATTAATGAAAATGTAAGAGTAGGAAAAATGATTTAAAATTCTTGAACATACTAAACGAGTTAAGAATACATAACAGTTATGAATAATTTGAACACTTAGATGCACAAGAAAGTAAAAATTAAACAATTTCTATTTTACATGTTCATATGCTCTACAAAGTAAAGTAGTAGACACAACTAAAGATGACAAATTAACTAAAGGCTCCCCATGATTCATCTGATTTTCAGGAACATTTTCCAGCAAATTCAGCACATTATTGTTTGAATTTTCCTAGTAAATTACAGAATATTGATATTTTGGGGAAAAAAATTGTAAGAATTATACCATTTATGTAGGACATACATACACATAGACAAAGTAGTGTTTGATTTGAACGAAGAGCATGAAATGAATAATACCTAATCCTAGAAAAGATAGAAGGAAGCTTAGTCGTGTGTTGGGTAAAGGGTTGGTGACCAACTCAATTTAAAATTTCTAGATCTAGTAATTGTACAGGAACTTAAGTTCTCACGTTTAGATTCCCTCTACTTTGTCACCTTCTTCTAGTAATTATATTTAAATATCCCCTATAATCTGGGAAAAAATAATTATTCAGATCAATCAAATATTTCATAATTATTTTTTTTGTTTTTTGAAAAACAATTATTTAAAATCAAGTGAACATGCATATTTTAATTAATAATTTAATTTGCTACATTAAAGTCACCATCAAGCCAACTTTCAGTTGAAACATAACTAATTTCTAAGGTTCATTTGCTATTAAATTTTGTACATCATCGAATCCAAACCGCTAATATTTTCGAATTAAGCCCCTGTTTGGTCCGTATTAAAATCTGATTTTAATCTAGTCAAAATCAAACAGTCAATATTAAATACATCTTTCATGGGTCGTACAACTTTTCAACCACACATTTCAAAAACTTCTATTATAATCTACTAAAAATTTAATTTTAATCTCCACCAAACACCTAAATGTAAGTGTATTCTAAAATATGAATATATTTAAGCCTTTTTGCTTTGTGTTTTTAGCCTTATATTCTCATGAATAACGGTAAATTTTTGACATACTATTAATAAAACACTCTTGTTCAATTAGCAAGCCAAAAAGAGTAACTTCTAAGCAACCAATTATCTACTAGCTGATCACTTCAATCTATAGTTCCCCCAACCAGGAGTGTTAACGTAAGTGAGCCGAACACCAAATTTTTTGTACAATCTGTTCGTTGGCTCACACGAGTTAACTCTTGAGCTAACCGAATGGCTTGCACAAGTTGGCTCGTGAGCTTTTCGGCTTGTGTGCGAGTTGTCTTGCAATATGGATGAAATATGCTATTTAAGTTTTAAAAAAATAATAATAATAACCGAAATGAGCGGAGCCTGATGCTCGAGTAGTCCCATTTAACATCCCTACCTCCAACCAGGCAACCCACACCCAAAAACAAAAAGGAAGAAAAAAGTGTAATGCCTAAATGGTCTTTAACAAATCATGCTTTACAACATACCCTGGTATTTAATTACTTGTGACAATGGAAAATAAAATATAAAATATATAATTACCCTGGATAAGAGGCATATCAAGGACTGCAATTGGTTCCTTCCCACAGAGTCTCCAATAAAAGCCATGGATTTGCCCCTCACAATATCCAGAAATTGATAAGGATTGAAAACAGGCAAATCACATCCATCTGGTTTCCACTTCCATCTCATGAACTCTCTATCTGGCCTTCCATATTTCATGCAGTTCTGGTGCTCATGGATTTCCGAACAAGTCATATTCGTGTAGTACGGCGCCTCGGGATTCGGAACCCATTCACCCGTAGAAATGTCACACTTTTCATAATCTTGATCCTTAATCTTCAAGGATTCATCAAGTTCTGCAGGATTCTTGGAAGAGTACTTCAGAAATGGATAATTTAGATGAACAACAGTGAGGAGAATTAATGTTATGGCAACTAATAGTATAGAAATATTCTTTGTGTTCACAATCCTTTGTTTATTATTTCGAAAGGAAAACTCCATGGATTTGAGCCTCACGAAGCTAAAGAAAGAATGGACATGGAAGGAAAAATGAAGGGTGAGTGCATCAAAAAGAGATCTGGCAAACAAGTTATTAATCTAAGGTTGTAATTTTAAAAATAACAATTTGCTAGTCACGTTCCTACATTATATAATAATAACAGTTTTTGCGTGTTAATACCAAAAAGCACATGAGTTCGAGTGATCCAAAATCCGATAGCATAAATAAAAAAGTTAAATTTAATTATTTAAAGTTGACAAGATTTGCCCAACTCAACTCCCATGTGCAATTATACCATTAATAAAGTAAGAAGAAATTTTAGTCTTCCAATGGATTAAAAATTTACTTCGATGCCAAGAATTGGTCTATTATTATTATTATTATTATTATTATTATTTTAAAGTATTATGTACATAATTCTTAGACTATAATTTGAATATTTGGGTATGTAATAATTACAATCTGGGATCATATAATTTTAGCTCAATCGCTAATGTCCAAGAAAAAAAAAGTTAAATTACACTATAGACCTCAATTTTTACTAAAAGTTCAAATATGCCCATTTTTTTTTAAATTCTTGATGATAACTACCATTTTAATAAAAGATGTAATTAAATTTACCCTAATTTAATTTAACTACACTTTTAAACATCCAAGATTTTCCTCACTATTCAAAACAGCAGTTGTACAGTTGTGCCTTACTGATTGGCTCT